GGGACCACAAAAAGTGAGAATTCACTCTACAGCAATGGGTGTTTTGTTGTTGTTTTTTAATCTTAACAGATGCAGATTGCTATATCTTTATCCCAAGGAGCAGCTGGTCAGTTCCGGCCACAGATATAACAGCCAAGTGCTTAGCCACAGTGCCATGAGAGTTCCTTATTTAAATACAGGTCCTTCTAATATTTATAATAATATTTAACAACCAATATACAATTCATAAGAACACAAAGGGGAGTTTCAAAAGTTCTTAGAAAAGCTCTATTACCTTTGAATTCCTTTTTGAAGTCCATGAGTATAAAAATCCATTTCTACTCAAAGTGAGCCTATGGGACAGCACAGAACCATCTCACCACCCACCACAACACCCCCATTGAGGTTTCCAAGACTGTAATCCTTACCAAAACAGATTGCCACATCTTTCTCCCTAGGAGTTGCTGGGGGGTTCGAGCCAGTGCCCTTCAGCTTAGGTGCCTCTAATCACGTTGTATTTTGCAAGTAAAATTATAGAGCCATTAACCAGGCATCTCAAGCCAGTAACTTAAACTCACAAATCCTTTAACCTTCAAATATTAACAGAGCATATCTAACAGTGTAGCTTTTAACTGTGTGATACAGGCCAGAGCTAGAAAATGCTTAGATAACAGAATTGACTTTGTTCACATGAATTCTTGCCTGTTCTCCATTCTGCAGTTTTCAACATCTGCTGACTACTGCATATTACTGCAGCAGACAAAATTAACCTTCTTCACCGAGGCAGTATTTCACCTGAAAAATAGAGGGCTGTCTTCAAACACAGACTCACCGCCACTTTTCCATGAATTTATATTCATAGTAAACAGTTGCTTCTTCCTTTTTAAGTATCCAGAGGGCAAGGGCAAGCTTAAATTCCGTGCAGTGGGAAGCAATAAATGGCATCCAAGCCCCAGCCCCCTCCTCTAACTGCAGAGGGAATGTTAAGAAGCTTTGTTTGAACTGAACAAAGAGGAGAAAACCTCCCCAAAGCCTGATCTTTTAGCTGCAATACCAGCACAATGGGAGTGATTTTGTGCGGGTGCTTCCTAGATGGGGAAGCTGTAGTGGCTACACAGAGAAGAGCTCTTGCCCTTCCTCCACCCCAACCTCTAGCTGCCATCAGAATTTTCTTCCTAATGCAGTTTCTCATACCACTGCCCCACTCAAAATGGTTCCAGTACCTTAAGACAAGAACTACACTCCATAGCACAGCATTCACTTCTGCCATCACCAAGCTAAATTCTCATCTTTCTCCATCGCTCGCTTTACAAGGCCATGCAGACTTGGTTAAATTAAGACTTTTTGCCGCTTTCCATCTATGTCCATCCATTCTTCCATCTTCAACCCTTGGTGGCCCGTTTCCTTTACCTGGAATATACATTCTACCTTAGAAATCAAATCCACTGCCATCAAGTCGATTACACCTCAGAGCAACCCTATAGGACAGAGTAGAACTACTGAGGGTTTCTGAGATGAGAGCAAAACAGCCTCATCTTTTTCCCCTGGACTTGCTGATGGGTCGGAACCCAAAGCTTAACACCCACTGTATCACTAGGACTTCTTATATCCTACCTCGTTGCCTAAAATCACCTCAGGAAATCCATCCCACACATCATGTGAAGTCCAGTATTTGAAAGGCTCTTCTTAGAAGCAGAGTACCCCCCTTCAACTTTCCAACTGGGAATATCTTCCTTCAGTATTCACATTTTATGAAAGTAGGAGTCAGGATATCAAAAGATATATCACATCTGCTGCAAAAGATTTCATTCTTTAAGGTGTTAAAAAAACATCCATGTCACTTTGAAGAATATAGTGTGCCTAACTAACCAAGGTATTTTCAATTACCACATATGCATGTGAAGTTAGACCGTGAATAAGGAAGACCACAGCAAGATTGGTGCTTTTGAATTATGGTACTGTCGAGGAATATCAAATATACCATGGACTGCAAGAAAAAAACAAACCATCTGTATTGGAAGAGGTAGTCAGAATGCTCCTCAGAAATGAAGATAGCCAGGACAGATGACCCCTTCAGGACCAGTGATGAGAGTGGCGATACCAGAGGGAGGGTAGAGTAGAAAGGGGGAACCAATTACAAGGAGCTACACATAACCTCCTCCCTGGGGGATGGACAACAGAAAAGTGGGTGAAGGGAGATGTTGGACAGTGTAAGATATGACAAAATAATAATAATTTATAAACTATTACGGGTTCATGAGGGAAGGGGAGGGGGGAGAGGGAGAGGGGGCAAATGAGGAGTTGATATTAAGGTCTCAAGTAGAAAGCAAATGTTTTGAGAATCATGATGGCAACAAATGTACAAATGTACTTGATACAATGGTTGTATGTATGGATTGTG